ACTGTTATGGAGTGGTATTGCACAGCAAATGGGCGCCATCTAATGTCAGGGAATGAATTTGCTCAATGGTCAGTCAGCTCATGTTCAGCAAAAATCGTTTGGGTGTGAACTCAAAAAACGTGTCAAAACACTGGCGAATAAAGCGCGCTGATATTCGTCCAGGTGTGTACGGGCCTTAAAGAGCCCCTATCATGGATTTTTGAAAATGACTGTTCATGTGGTGTGGAATATAGCTCTATGGGAATGAAAACATCCTGCAAAGATTTATATCTGAAAGTGCACCGTATATAAAGTTACTGTCTTTCAAAAGTGAGAGTCGACTCTGAGTCTATGAAATGAATTGTTTTTGAAATGAGTCACTGCACGCGCAGACGGAAGTGTAAACTTGAAGTCTACACATTCAAATACTTCATCATAGCATCATGTTCGAGAAGATGCTGTGTTCTACAATGCAAAGATAGTTCAGCCACTTTGTTTTCATTTACCAGGGACGAGCATGTGAAGAATCGGTGGTTAGAGTTCATATTTGCAACAATACCACAACAGTATAGCCCGATTGTGTTCTCATCATTTTAACGATGAATCGTTCAAAAACAAATGAATTCAAATGTGGATTCGCAAGCGGATGTTACTGAAGGAGGGCTCAGTAACTTATTTACCCAGTGTATATGGATCAGCTTCCTCCTTCGAATCACAACCTGTAAGTATTATTAATAGTTGTTGCTTTTATGGGTTTTGAACGGTTTTGTAGCGTCACGTCGCGAGGAGCGAAGGTGGAAGTATGTGTGTGTGTAAGTTACGCTCAGCGCAGCTTCTTGGTCTCCAATGTCAATTTTTTTTAATATGTTAAATGTTTGTCGCTGTTATTGGAGTGGTCATAAAGAATAGAGCGTCTTGTAGTACTGCAGTGCTTTATCATTATGTTTATGCGTTAATATGCTAACAAACAATAACTGACTGGGTCGGTCATCTGACCAATCACCGCCGATTAGCGTCACGCAAAGGAGGCGTTTGGAAAAATGAGTCGTTGTACGAATCATTTGGGAGTCGGTGAGCAAATCAGTTAAAAATAAATGCATATTATAAGACAAATAAAGTTTTTATCCTTGCATGCATGTTAAACTGTTTTTGGGAACTCCCAAAACAAAAATAGGAACATTTCAAATGCTACGATAGGGGCTCTTTAATGGAGGCGTTTTCAGGGAGTTCAGAAACAGTTCACACTGATATAGAGGAGAACTCCCTAAGGACTGACTTTGTAACTTTGCACACCCTTTTCATGATCAAAAAGCAAGACATTTGAAAATGTGAAAAAAAAGCATTAGTCCACTTTAATGATTGAAGATGAAAATTGCTTAAATCAAATATCAAACTAACAATTATAAATATTCAAGTAATCACAGTGCTAAAAAAAAGAGGAAAGGAGTATTATTGAAACAAAGCATTCATTATCTGTTGACAAGACTTCTGTATATATTTTGAAACTGGCACTTCTGTCAGTCTACATGGTGGACAGATACCAGCTGATGCCAACACTCTCAAAATGACCACGTCATATTGGCTTGGCCCAATACCGGTCTATCACTGGTGAAAAAAAGTGACAAATGCAAAAGCTATTGGACAGATGGAAAGTGCTATGAACAAAATGTACTGAAAAATCTTCTCACATTATGTTAGTTTACTTTCAGTAACAGTCGATTCTTGTCCATACGAAGCAAATCTGTGTGAGCTTCCGCTGGGCTCCAGTATGCCAGAGAGACATTCCTCTGGTGTCAGACCGAGGCCCGAAACAAGCATATAGTGTGACTTCTCCACTTCACCTTAGCCCAGCACGTCTGATGGTTTCAGTCCACAGCAAATGATAGATTACTGCTACTGGGTCCTCACAGAAATCATCAACCTCAAGAACACATTTGACATCAAAACCTATAAGTGCTGTGGTGGTACAACGGCTCAGAGGCCAGATGGAAATACCACGGTCCCCTGACCCATATATTAATGACAGACCATAAATCAAGCTTGTAGAGATCGTATGACAGCAGTGTCAAATTGGCTGATTAACAGGAGGAGGGCAAAACATCCATAGAACTGATGCCCTAAAACACTAAAGTGTCTTAATGCATTAAGGCCCAGTTTACACCTGGTATTAAAGGTCGGGTAGGCAATTTTTGGAGTGGCTAATAAAACTCATAGGTGCATTTAAACTTTAAATAAAGCGTAGCTGAATAATTTTTCAATCTCATGCATTGCTTTACTTCATCAATCAGTTTATAATATCTGAATATTTTATATTGAACTATTCTATTCATAATAAATTAGTTACTTTCTTTTAACTTTTGTAGGATATTAGTAATACTAGTTATGTTTAAATGTGTTTCCCAGCATATTTTTACCATATGTCCTTATTAGATTGCGTTTTTAAGGGGTTTGTTTTGCTCTTTTTGTGATATCTGGCAACCCGCCACCCTGAGCTTTAATCAAGAGTTCAGAAGTGTCAAGTTCAGAAGTGACTAGAAGGAGAGCAGCAATATGAAAACCAAACAGCAGCTACTGTTGGTGTTGACTAAGTTGTTTAAATTATACACACCTTAGAACAGTGCGTCATTATTAGATCATAGCCCGGTGAACGCCACGCTCCCTCTCAGTGTTCCCCATGCGATTAATTTGAGTGTCAAGTTGTAATAATCACTGATCGAATTCTGATCGATTGCTTTCGGAGTGTAGACGATACTCATGTGCTTGAAAGTGGACAAAAGCGACGGATTAAAACTCCAGTTGTAAACGGGAATGCGTCTCCCTCATCTACTTGTGATCCGATCGACCAAAACACTAGAGCCCGGCCTATATTAGGCATTTTCCTAACTATCAGTATCGGCATTTATAATGGCCAATAAATGAAAATAAATTTTAAAAATGCAGGTGTGGTGATTCATGTAAGGGTGGCACTGCCAATAAAGCACATAAAAGCCGTCACAAAGAACTGGCAAAAGTAATGATTGTGAATACATCAAATTAGGGCTGTCGTACGATTAATCGCGATTAATCACATCCAAAATAAAAGTTTGTGTTTACATAATATATGTGTGTAGTGTGTATAATTATTTTGTATATATAAATACACACACATGCATGTATATATTTAAGAAATATTTGCGTGTATATACTTTATTTATAAAAAAAGTTATATTATACATAAATATTGTATATATTAATAAGACATTTTTATATATACAAAATAATTATACACACTACACACACAAATATATTATGTAAACACAAACATTTATTTTGGATGCGATTAATCGCGATTAATCGTTTCACAGCCCTACATCAAATATAGCAAGGAGACATTTTAATTGTTTATTAATAAGTGTTTTCAGTCAGTGTCGCTGCCAAACTCAGTACAACCTACAGATGAAGCATACTATATACAAGCCAGCAGATGAGCCCAGAATATGAACAGCAGGATGAGCGTAATTTATATTGGTTGAAATCTTTCATATTCTGGGTTCATTTGCATCTGAACAGAGTAGAGGCGTTAAAATTATTAATTTCTATGATGCATTGCGAAACGGCCATGGACGATTCGGTGGCGATGCAATAACAGACCATAATCGATTATAGCCGCCGTTATAGCCTACATGCGTTTCTCTGACGTCATTCGACGGATACGCGCTTGTCTCACTAGCATAAAATGGTGGGTCTGTGTGTGTGTGGTTGGTTTACAGAGTTTGTGTAAGCATTGTTGTAACTTAAGTCACAACTCATTTTTAGCATTTACTAGAGTTTGTTAGTCCTATCTCCTGTAAGCCTAAGTTTTGTTTGACTACATTCAGAAAGTGTAGGCCTACTTTCTTGGAGCAAATAAAATAAGAAGGGAGTTCATATATCCAACTGACAGCTTGTATCCGTTGATGAAAATGTAGCCATGTGCAGTAACATTGCAACACATCGTGATATCAGATTGAATCGTTGACATACTTGTATTTGATTTGAATCATGAGACCAGTGACGATAGGTTTCATTATAATGGTTTTCTATGGGAAAATGTTTAGAGTGCAAGTTAGGATGTTGAATTCATATTTAAGGCGCATATGCCGTATATATTATATAGTATGCATCATCACCAAGATGTGTATGTCCTGCATTTGGAAATCATCATTTTAGTAGTGTTACACTCAGAAGTGGAAGGCTTTTTTCCCCTCTATGTGGGCATGCGTGTGTGCGTGAGAGAGATCAGGGAAACCAAAAGGTAACGAACCCATTTAACAGGTTTGAATTCATCACACATGCACTTGCTTTCTATTTCTATACTCAATAAGTGATAAATGTCACGCATGTCTGTGAAAGGCAGCGTGCACGTATGAAAGTAAAGACATCTGCATGACATCAGGTTGATCTGATGGAGGGAAAACACAAACTGTGTTTATAAAACTGGACATGGACTTATGCTGCTGATCCGAGAATACCGTGAGCGGGAACTAAACCAGCATGCACACGTTTGTATTCATGTCACTTATGTGATTCTCCAAAGTACATTGAAGAGAACCATAGTGCATGTCCAAAAAGGTGAAAGTACCACGGTATCTTTCATTAATAACACTCCTCATAAACAGCAACGTGACGTGCGAATCGAGAGTGATATATATAGAGGGGAGGCAGTCAGACCCCTGTTCGAGGCCCAGTGCAGATCGTGTTAAAACACGCTGTCGTGCTGCTAAAGCAATACAATTATGATATCCATAATCATATTCAATAGAGACAAGTGAGCAGGAATGCTTCACATGAAGCCCACGGACAGTGAAATGCGGAGTCGGCCGCGAGACATGAAGCCCATGTGGGCTGAGTTTCGTGCCCGGCCTCCATTCATCGTAGCGGGGCTGCGTGGCCTACACTCGCTCGAGCTCCCGCAGAACTGCGCTCACACACACAGACCCACTTCCTCCTGTCATACACGCTCTCAAGCATGCTCTACCGCTTCTCTGGTGCTGGTTTCTTACCCTCTTCCTCCACCGAAGCTCCCGTAAGCCCTATCCCGGTCATCGTAGTTATCGTAATCCGCCATTGCCGAAGATGCTGTCCAGAGAAAGCAGCAGCCTGACGCTGAAGGACCCCAACATATACTGCTGCGGTTGATAGCTGTCCAAGGCGTGCCTGAAACATGACACTTGACTTTTTATAAAACATTTTTGAATAATGATAGATTATTTAGGTAAGAAATATTAAAATGAGACGTGTGTATATTGATTTTGGAGGATGTATCCAAATGCAGATTTTTTATGAGGAATTTGGAAGATTTTTCAATCTGGCAACGGCGAGTAGACTCGAGATGCGATCTAACGTGGATCCACCAGTTCATTGTTTTGGACGAACCATAGAGGTGGGGATTAGATTCTTTGATGCTTTGAATCTTTTAAATCAGTTCACACAATAATAATAATTATAATTCGTTTCCTGATTCGTTTAGTTCAGAGACCATTTCTGTTACGGTGGTGGGTTGTCGACAAATGTGCACACGAGTAATTGAATCCTTCACTCTATTGGCAAGTCGATTGCAACCGAAATAAGTCTTTGCTACCATTTGCGGGCAAAATAGACTCCAATAAGAGGCTTTATGCACAGCTGCACTACTTCCTGAACTTCAGCCAGCTCCCTTGTTTCCTGTCTGCCATTATTGGGCAAAATTGATTAATTCAGGTGTGTCTGATTATTGTTGCCATGACTACTGAGGTCAAGCACACCTGAATTAATCAATGTGTCCAATAATGGCAGACAGGAAACAAGGAGCTGGCTGAAATTCAGGAAGTAGCGAAGCTGTGCATAAAGCCAATTAAAGGGATAGTTCACCCTAAAATTAAAATTCTGTCATTATTTACTCACCCTCATGTCGTTCCAATCCCGTAAATCTTTCCTTCATCTTCAGAACACAAATGAAGATCTTTTTGATAAAATAATCAAACTTTCTATTCCTCTATAGACAGCTAACACTACAAACCATAACAAACTAAGTGTCATAGAGGGATAGAAGGTTTGCGGATTTCATCAAAAAGATCTTCATTTGTGTGAACGAAAGGCTTATGGGTTTGGTGAGTAATTCAATTAATGACAGAATTTCAATTTCGGGGTGAACTGTCCCTTTAAATGATGCATTTCAATAATGTTTATGGCCTTAATTATTTTAATACATTCACAATTCATGTCTCCTTGTCCTTGGTGTGAACTTGACTGATGAAGAACTAAACGCTTGACAGGGCAGTGACGGGCATGTAAACCCAATCTCACGGCAATTCGTACAAATTTTATGAGGTGGCTAATTCGTAACAATTCGTACGACCTCACTCGTACGAATTAGTATGATTTTTGCTAAATCTTACATATTTTACGAGTTGCCCCATTTGTATGAATTCGTACGAATGACATACCCCAGACCTCGCCCCTAAACCTACCCATCATGTGGGTTCGACAAATCGTACAAATTCGAACGAATGAGGTCATATGAATTCGTACAAATTAGCCACCTTTTAATCACTTGTACAAATTCGTATGGATTGGTTGTGAGATAGTGTTGGTTTTTCTAATGCCTTTTTCTACAAATTCCTCAAATTTCCTAAAAAAAACCCAATGGGCTCTATGCACGGCGTTATTTCCGGTGAAGCATTAGGGATGCTCGATAACTTCCGGCGATCATAGAGTCCAATGCAATACCGAGAATTTATATTGAATTTTATACTCCATGGTTATACTAATGAAACGTTAGTCACAAAAACAGATAAAACAGACACCCCTCGTTGTGTTTATGCTTCTTTTTAAAATTATATTAAATAAACATAACTATATAAAAATTACGTCTAAACGTATGTACGTTTCATTTCAAAGACGGGAGGACAGTAAATATTGAAGACTCTGCCATAATCCCGTTTTCTCCGGTTTTTTTCATCCGCTTTAATCTACACAACCGGAAATGGACGAGCATCCTTACGTCAAATGCGGAACTTATGCGTGCATATAGCCCATTGTTATATATTATAATAACACTGAACCGATGGCTGTAGTTTTTGAGTCACCATTTGAACTAAGTTTGGATTTGGACTTCAGTGGTGAGTCTTCACGTGGATCTGTGAACTTAAGAACTGTGCAGCTGGTAATTAAAGGAGTAGTTTACTCACCCCATGTCATCCAAGATGTCCATGTCATTCTTTCTTCAGTCGAAAATAATTTTTTTTATGAAAACATTCCTGGATTTTTCTCCATATAATGGACTTCAATGGGAACCAAACGGTTCAAGGTCCAAATGACAGTTTCAGTGCAAACTGCAAACTGTTCAAAGGGATTTAAACGATTCAGACGATGAATAAGGGAAACGATCGCTCATTTAATAAATAAATAACAAGTTTAGTTTTATAAGCCCAAATCCTCGCCTTGCTCTGTTCTGTGATGCACGTTCTGTGACTCTCCTGTTCGAATTCGTTTATTCAAAATGAACGAATCTTTTTTTGTTTCATTTGGTTCATTCAGCGAATGAATTGACTCGGAAAAAGATTCGTTCATTTGATAAACGAGTTTCTGCTGGTGAACGGCGGTCTTTTCGATTCGGCTTTGGCCGAGACTCTGGAGGACTTGGAGTTA